CTTTTTTTTTTTTTTTTTTTTTTTGTGCGTGAGTGTGGAAGTTGTTGTTGTGAGTGGTTTTAGGCTATCCTCTTCTCGTTTTCCTTGTGCAAAAGGTCGCTGCCCTTTCATCAAATCCACCTACATTGTAGACTTACTATATAGTGGTCGTCTGGCCGCTGGCCGTGTATTCAAACATTCTTATGACTATGAGAGCCAATGAGTCTTTGTAGTAGGACTTTGTTTCTTGAATTTATAACAATTCTGACCTTAATTTCATTTCTTGCTTCTGAATCCTCGACAATTATTGTATTAGCCGCCGTCTGTACGGAGTATGCACACTTTAGTTCCTTATCCGTCGCAGCGCCGACTCCCAACTTTGAGCAGTAGGGAAAATCTGAAATAGTGTACTCCGTACCTTTTTGATAGCATTCAAGTCATGAAAGTGAAAATCCATTCTCGCCACTCCTGTTGAAATAGTATGCCACCTAGCTATCTACTACTGATCCAAACCACCTTACCCGAACAGGAAAGTGTGGCTGGACGTAAGTACTAGTGTGGCTGTGAAGGTGCGGCTTGACTGAGATGCCGTGACCGCCTCCAGGCCAACTGCTCCTCTTCCCCCCCAAAATCGTCATGGATTGTCATCATCATTGTTCTTCCTGGCAATTCCTCAGTTCTCTAATCTCGCCATACTAATCCCCCATTTCCTTTTCAACCTTCAAGGACTGGGCAGTGCACCTACCACCATACTCACATCTTTCTGTGCCACCAAATATTCAACTCTTTTCTAGCTATCTTCACTCCTCTGGTGGCGCAAGATGAAGCTTACATTTAAAGTAGGCATCTCCAACACCCCGCCCGTTCCTTGATGACTGGAGCTGACAACCATTTCTCCTTTACTCCAGGATCTGAAACAGCAGAAGTTTGTAATTGATGCAGAGCCCTCAGAGACGGTAGGTTATTCCCCTGGTGCAGATATCTTGTTCGTGTCAATGCGGGGCTAATAAAATCTCCGTTAGGTTGGGCAAGTGAAAGAAAAGATCTCCAAGGAGAAGGGTTGGGAGGTCCCCCAACTGAAGCTGATCTACTCTGGTTCGTCCATAGCGTCTTGCCCGTTATGGTTTCACTATGTCGGCGCCACAGACGGTGACTTGGCTAAGTTTCGCTATATGATAAGTCGCTAACCATCTCCTCGCCCTACAGGTAAGATCTTGCAGGATGACAAGGCGATCGAATCATACAATATTGAAGAAAAGGGCTTCATAGTATGCATGGTCTCCAAGGTAAATTATACAATGGCGTCTCTCTGTATATATCAAGCTATTTAACCGTGCTGTGTAGCCTAAGGCCCCCTCATCTACAGCCACGCCTTCGCAAGCCCCCTCGACGCCTTCGAGAGCTGCTGCCTCGACCCCAGCTGCGCCTCCTGCCCCGGCTCCTGCCCCTGCCTCATCTACAAACTCCTCCGCACCACCCCCACCGGCGACTCCTTCCCCTGTTGGGGCTACACAGCCATCCGACGCTGCTTTTAATGATCCCTCCGCTTTGCTGAGTGGCTCTCAAGGCGAGGCGGTTATTTCTCGCATGGAGAGTATGGGTTTTCCAAGGGATGATATAAACCGCGCTATGAGGGCTGCCTTCTTCAATCCTAATCGTGCTATCGAATATCTTTTGAATGTGAGCTTTGCACATTAACGCTGCCTAAGCGCGATACACATCAGCTGATGATACTTATTACAACCAACAGGGAATTCCAGAAAACATACAACAGGAACAGCAGCAACAACAACAGGCTGCCGCTGCCACCGCTGCCTCGCCTCAACCCCCCGCTGCTTCCGCAGGGGAAAACGCTCCCGCGACAACGGGTGGTGAAGAACCAGTCAATCTGTTTGAGGCTGCTGCTCAGGCGGGTACCCAGGAAGATCCCCATGGGGCACGCTCCGGAAGTGCAGCCGGCGAAGGACTTCCGAATCTTGACTTCCTTAGGAATAACCCACATTTCCAGCAACTTCGCCAGCTAGTCCAGCAGCAACCGCAAATGCTCGAACCCATTCTTCAACAAGTCGCGGCCGGTAACCCTCAGATCGCCCAGCTCATCGGCCAGAACGAGGAGCAATTTCTTCAGCTCTTGAGCGAAGAAGGTGATGGTGCCCTCCCTCCTGGTACGCATCAGATCCATGTCACCGAGGAAGAGAGAGATGCTATCGAACGTGTATGTTTGTTTAATGCCTCTTATATATGCGTAATTATCACACCGGGTTGAAGGCTAATACAGTACTAGCTATGCCGTCTGGGATTTTCCCGGGATATGGTCATAGAGGCTTACTTTGCATGTGACAAGAACGAAGAGCTCGCTGCCAACTTTCTATTCGAGAACACTGATGATCCTGGAGACCTATGATTCAACGCCAGAGTATCCTCCGTCGAAGGCTTCCCAACAATACATTGCTGCGAACCTAGTGCTGCTCTTTCCCCTTAATGAAAACTGCAATGCATCTATCTCCTTGTCGAGTTCCTTACCAACGCCGGGCTTTATCATGACTAGTACAGCTTGCCGTGCCCAGCACCGGAAGCACTACCTGTCACTACTTCCTCAGCCACGTCTTCTCATCCTTACCACTATCTCATGGACGACATTTGCGGCGGTATTCCAACATACGGTAGTAGTCTTTGCCTATTTTCCTTTCATTTCCCTTCCTACTCAGAAGTGACATTTTGGTCGTGTGCCTAGTTAATGGAACAAAAATGAGATACGTTTGAATCCCTTTTTTTCCCCTGCAGCACTTGGAAAGATTATCGCGTACGATGAATGGGGTGTAAAGTTGAATCCGGTTTCGTAAAATTGATATAAATACCTCCAGATGGCTAAGTCCAGCATGAATCTCCAATTTGCTCGTTGATTGGCACATTAAACTTGGCAATGACCACTCACCTACACCTTCCTATAGTAGTACCTATCTACAGCCCTATACTTTTAGTGTGTCCTGTGACCTCACGCCGCGTTTGAGGAGCCTCTTAAAGGATCGCTGACTACGTCACCGGATCAGCAAATGCGCTCGGTAATTTTAAAATGACACTTTGCTTTTTTCACAAAGGCCAGAATGCGTGTGTAGTGTTTTGGTATAACAATTATGAGACGATCGAAATATGAGACGATACACTTGCCTATTACCTGCACCGGCGGGTATATAGGTAAATTAGAGGGAGTTGCATATAATGTAGAAGAGATTAGGAAGAGCTAGAAGCTGACCATCGAGGTTGCTTAACCCAGAATGTTCGAAACAAGGGGGCGAGAAGAAGACAAAGGAGTAACGGTGCGAAATTTGTTAACTTTACATCATCAAGAATCTGATATATTAATACCATCAGATGATCCAGCTTCAATTGCACCCCGCCCTTTTAGCTCTCCACACGGCTAGTCCGCGCCTACCAATCACTCGCCTCAATGTTGAATAGACACCTTCAGTGCCAAATTCTAAATCATCCAAGTTGATATGTTTCCTGTAAGACCACTGTTCGTGTAGCTCTAAAGCTGAGCTAACCGACGACGAGCTCGGTAAAAAGGTATATTGATCAAGAAAAGCAGCCGACTTGGGCGCAACCACGAATACCGAGTCAACCTGCTTCGATCCAGCAATGTTGCAGGAAGGGAGTAGTTTCTCCAGCTCCTCGATCAAGTCTGGTCCGGGAATGCCCATTAAGTCTCGAGTTTCGATATTCAGGGATGAATTGTCGGTAGTTCCTAGTAACCATAGCGGGGGAGAGTAGGTTTTCCACCAAAAGACTGTGGCAGAGACAACAGGGCTTTCTCCTGGAAATGCATCACTTGATTCAACACTGCTGGCTGAGACGATAGAGGGCATTGCAAGCTGAGCAGGTACAACCCCCCCTTGGTGATAAATGCCCATTAAAAATCCCAGAGTAGCATTAAATATCATCCAGGTGGCCAGGAACAAACGCGATTTGCTCACACGGAAGCAACTGAGGAGAAGAGGTACACATGGTATTAAGAAGCGCGGTTCTTGGTGGGGGAAGATCGATAATATGACAGTTGCTGATAAAGCGGAGACAGCACGCGCGTTCTTCAGCCAGATTGGGATGGCTGGCAAGCCCCACAATGATATAGCCATCATAGCATATGCAGGCCCTAGGAGCTGCGGCAAGTTGACTAAAAGGTGTTGATAATGAGGGTGAAGTCCATGAAGCGCCAAGTTTGAACTATCAGAGTTATAAAGTAAATTGTTGACGGGTGTAATTATCGGTGAGTGAAGGGCATCCCACAAGGTTGCAGAAGGCCTATAGAATGCCGTATCAACAAGAACAGCGATTCCAAAGAAGAATATACCGAACCCGACGAAGGAAAATAATGAGGCCGGTCTGGATGTTCGAGGATGGTTTAGTACAGAAATGAAGAACTATTCTCACGGGGATACTGACTTGCGCCGAAAATGAGGCAATAATTGAAGTCCTGGGATTACAAGAAAAGCTGGAAAAGTGATTCGATTAAAGACGCCAGCAACAGCAATAAAGGCTAGGACAGCACAGGAGAAGACGGATGAGCGGCGCTGTAAACGAACATTAGCCTACCGACATTCCCTCTTCCTTGGCTTTGGTGTGATGAACAGACCTTATTCTCGACAATGCGACGAATCAAGACCAGACCCCAAGCAACCAACAACGTCTCAAGGGAGTTGGAGAAGGTGTGCGTCTGATATGTCCAGGTGACGTACGAGGACGCAACCAGCACCACGGTCGCTCGGCGGTGTCGCGCAAAAGGAACTAACTCATATACAGCCCAGTCCTCCAGCACAAAACTCAAGAGAAACATGACCCCTCGCAGTACATAGTAGATAACCTGCGGAGGAGGGGGTGTCGGGGCCCCTGTTTCGGCATAGAACCATCTAAGAAGGCTTATTGGCACGTCGTAGGTCGGCCATAGCGGAAAGACGCTGCGGATCGGTTTATCGACGGTGAATTCCCATGGTAATTTGGATGGGTAGGAGAGGACGCGACCTGAGGAGCTTAGTTGAGTCCTATGAATGATGGTTTATTGTGGGGGTATGTTTTGCTCGTCGGAGGCCATCATCCATCGAGATCAATGGGGCGCGGGACCTGCCGGTAGAAAGAAGCTGCCGCTCTGAAACCATGGTCGCATCGACGGATAGCTCTTGAAAGAAAGAATAGCATACTTACCTGCAAAAACTTCAGGTCCCTGAAAGTTCTCGTCTGGATGAAGGTAGCTTGGGGAAAGGGCAAAGTAAACACGGATCACCAGTAAAAGCAAATATGTTCGTCTCCACATGGCTCCGATGGTTAAGTGTGGCAATAGTGATGATGATGATAAGACACGGACAATTATAAATAAGGAGAACAAAAATCACTATAGAAAAAGAACATGCTGTTGCTTTTCTCCCACATTAGAATAACTCAAATATTCAAGGAACGACACGGTCTAGCATATAGACAAGGTTATCGGAGAGAATCAAGGAGTGGAAGCTTGTTCAGGGCTCTTAGGAGGGTTCGTTAGGTCCGGCTAAGTTGCTGATGTGCAGGGCCTATTTCCTCTGACTGGGTGGGAGGGACACTGCCCGCCGTTAAGAGGAACTAATGGAGACAATAACTAGTAAATGTAGTGGACAGTGGTTAAATTAGCTGGCGATGAATCGAATGATAGTGGGTCGAGGTTGAGATACATTGAGGGTTTTGTGCTATTTCTATGATACACTTGATGTCCTAACTCGAGGGAAGAGACCGAGGAGATTATTATTTTTATTTTATTTTATTATTTTTATTATTTTAATCAAAGATATCGAAATGATGGACAATAAGAACGTCAGAGTGTATAATGGGTATATTTGGGATTGATGTTTCCTCAAAAATACCGGTTTTGTATTAATTACTGTATGTAATCCGTACAAGTATCCTTTTATAGGTTTAATGGGTTGGAAATACACTAGCTATGAGCATTTGCCATCATATTTAGAATAAACGTAACTGAGAATTCTTACCCATTAGTCTAAGCACCAGTCAAATGTGAAAATGGTACACTCGAAAATTTCTGTTTCCTATGTGAGGTATTTCTAACAAGTCAGTACATCGATATATGTATGTACTAGTCTACACTGAGGCAACAACAAGGCAGCAATCTAGGCGCCACTGCGCGGTGGGGGTGAGCCTGAATATTTATTACCCATGGACTCTGTACACTGAGTACTTGTACTCCGTAAGGAAAAATTAAGTAGGTTAACCCATGACCTGTGCTTTCCTCTCCAGTACCGAACTAAGCGCTACTCCGTAATTCTTCCCTGCCTGTATAACTAAGCCTCATTACTACTCTCCGCCATTGATTGTTAGTCCTTCCTACCTTCTATTTCTGCACCGCTACCTCTCTCCCTCTGAGCTTGCTTTCCTTTTATTCTATTTCTGCCCCATTGTCCTGAGACATTTATATCAAGGTTCGCACCCCAATCTCCTCTCCACAACACAGTTTCTTTCTCTTCGAAACTCTCTCACAGTTACCAGTGTCGGTAAATCACCATCTCCCCACCTCTGTACCCCTCATAAGATATTCAACTTGGTCTGAATTCTAGCCCTCCATGAAAACAAGCTGACTTTTCTCGCGAAGGCAACAATTGATTCAGGTTTTAATAGTCTGCTTAGGATTTTGAATATCTCAAACATGGCCACTCCCACTCTAGTTTTCACAAGCTCCGACGGCACTGACATCACTGTCGGTAGGTGCATTCATCACGATCGTTACCCTTTTACCAAGAAGAGATCCATGGTCTCTCTCTTCATCTCCTGAGGGCTAGGCTCGATACTGATCTGTTGTCCCGTCATTTAGACCGTGATGTCGCCGAACGCTCGGTGCTCATCAAGAACATGCTCGAAGACTTGGGTGAAACTGGAGAGCCCATCCCCATCCCCAACGTGAGTCATCCTGGCTCAGCTACCAGAATGAACTTTTAGTCACCTGTACGCGATGGGACCTGACTTATCCGCTGTAGGTCAACGAAGCCGTTTTGAAGAAGGTCATTGAATGGTGCACCCATCATAAGAACGACCCTCCCAGCACCGGCGATGACGATGACTCCCGCCGTAAGACCACGGACATTGACGAGTGGGATCAGAAGTTCATGCAGGTTGACCAGGAAATGCTTTTTGAAATAATTTTGGTACGTGCTATCTAAGTTGACGATGTCTTGACAGAAGTTCTGAAGCTAAGTCCCAATGAAATAGGCCGCCAACTACCTTGACATCAAGGGACTACTTGATGTCGGCTGCAAGACCGTTGCGAATATGATCAAGGGCAAGTCTCCTGAGGAGATTCGAAAGACCTTCAATATTCAGAACGATTTTACACCCGAGGAGGAAGATCAGATTCGTCGCGAGAATGAATGGGCTGAGGAGTATGTGCCTAAAGTTTCCCAGGTTTAACTTTTACACAGTCTGCCTTCCTTTGGAACACCGCCTGAATGCTAACTGCTCGCTGCTATAGCCGTTAAATACGCCGCTGGCCGATGTTAGCCTTGCCTTACTCTTGGAATCCTACCCAAGTTTCATGATCTGTTCCAGGAGGCTAGCAGCTCTCCATAATCTTTCAGCTTGAGTTTCATCTGGTCCATTGGTCTTTTCTACTCTATGGCGTTAGGAATTTTATATCACCATCGCTTTTTCTTTTCAATTAGCTGGTTTTGCTTTGATGAAGGCTGGAGTTAGACGTAGGCAGTTTGACACCCGGACTACCCACTGAATGTGAGGTGGTGAGGGAGCTGTTGTAGCAAGAATAATACCACTTACGGCCCACGGGTGTGCGGTCAGGGCTTTCGATAATTTTGAATATCTACGTAACACTTAATTACCTCGATTTGCATAGACTAGAGGCCTACGCGATAAGAGTACACGACGCAATAAATTGAGGGCAAATTTGACAACACGCTGTCTTAAGAGGTATGGGCCACTGCAGGGACTAAATCAAGGATACAAAAGTACGTGCGATTACACTACGATAGGCATAAGTGAGATACATCGCAGCGGCTTCTGGTGTCCCGAAGCGTTCGCTCATCCCTGCCGCTCCCCAAAGTGACTGCACAATCCAGCTCGCAGATACCAAGGCGTACGCTTGCGGGTGTACTCGAAGAGGGGAAATATAGCGTAGTCCATAGATAATTGCCCTTCACGGACATGTTCCCTTCAGTTGTCTTCATGTTTTAGGTGTGATATGTGGAAACATCCCTGAAAAATCTTCGTTCACTGCTCATTATCCATCATAATTTTTTATTTTGTCTCAGCTCGTGTACATAATTTGCAAAGTACGTTCCATCACAGAACCCGTCACCGCTTCCGATTTGATCATTGTCCGTACACCATCCTGAATATTTCAAAAATTATCAGGATGAGAGATATTTGCCAAAGATTCCGAACATAGATCAAAGTTTGGCGAGAGAAAGATGTTGAAGCGGGCCGGATTCAGGACGCAGATTAATCATCGCGAGCAACGTTTTCGGTATCACAGATGAACGAAACAATCGGGGATTGACATCTCGGTCGAAGGAGAGATTCGAAGTTTACAGACCGAGACGGGTCTTGCGCCAGTGCCTCCGCTTGGCGTTGTATCTAGAAGTTCGGTTGTTAGCACTGTATGTCCTTCCAACTTGTCCAACTTAAAACCCAAGATGTTCTCCTCCGCTCCAAGTGGCAAAGAAAGCGATAGGATTCTGAGTGTGAGTGTATAAACTCCATACACGTTTCAAAGCCAGTTGCCACTGTTCCAGTCGATCGAGGGTCCTGAGAGGAATAGATGTAATTACCTGATGGTGTTACCGGTCCTGAGACGAATCCACTGGGGGATAGGACGGTTCTGTCTCTGAGCTTTGGCAAGCTTCTGCTTGGTGCGGAAACTCTTGTGGCTCTAGTCGAAGAAATTGAGCGTTAGCAGCGATCACATAAGCCCCCCATTCATTTTGGCCAAATGATGTGGAAAAATATCACCCGAGTACAGACTCTAGGTTTGGCTCAGGGGGTGCTAACCGGCATCTTGAAGGCTTGTCGCGACGGCGAGCTGAGTGTATGGACTGGCGAGAATGAGGTTGTCGACCGTCTTCAAGGGCCTCTGGTAGTAGTGGTTTTTTTGTGCGGGCAGGGCTTAGCGTTTCGCTTCGAAAAGGTCATGTGACTTATGCCTGAGGCAAGGTTTCCTAGCAGTGACTCAGACCAACTGGTGAATCTCTTTGGTATGAACATGACATTTGCTCAGCGGTTTTTAATATAGGGTATACCTCAATAAGCACCGGATGACTGATTCATATCTTACTACTTACGGGTATTATTGCGCAGTATACAGAGTATACTTGAATACGTAGGATGGCATGACGGATAATCGATTATACCGAGTCCCTGACGCCCAATCTTCCAAGATCTGCCACTTAGAAGTAGTATTGTAATTTGTAACTGTGAGATGAAGCACAATTCTCTTAACCTATTACATTTTGTGGGTCATATTGTTATTTGTCATTTGTCTCTCTTTCTCTCTGCCATTTTCTGATTGTTTAGGTTGAGGCTTACTTTTTCTTCTGCTTTGTAGTTGGCGGTGTCTGTACGTACAGATGAGGATGAGCGATTGATTAGATACACTCTACCATGCTGGGGCCTTTCCTCTTTTGTTTGTTTCTTTAGTTGGAGAAGCAGTGGCAACAGGCTGTACTACCTATGCATCTATCTAAAGCGTTTAGTTTGAACCACCGGTCCATTACCCAAAGAAAAATGATAAACCACTTGAAGATTGGCTGACCACAATGCAGAACAGCCAGCCCCAACGCTTATTGAGTCAAAATATCTGGCCTTAGCAGGCATTATTTCAACCTTACACGCGACCGGCTAACAGGTTTACCCCGATCGACGATCGCTCGAAAAAAAAGTTTGTAGGTACGACGGAGTACTCCGTATGTCCAGATAGTCGGAGTGGCCAACCTCAAGAGACAAGCCAATGAGATAAGAGAATTCAGAAGCATTGATTCCTGTTGTCGGGAACTGGAGTCCCCGAATGTCCGACAACCATAACTTAACTAAGCTCGGGGGTCCATCTACGCCGCTATGGAGTCGACTAGTAGTTGGAACCTATCTATCATTCCCAGGAACAGCAACACCCCGAACCCCGCCGTGAGATTGTCCAAAAGAGTCTTGGATGATTGGCTTGTTCGTATATCGTTGCCAATAATTGCCTAGTAAACCAAACCCCTCGGGAGGCTCTAAAAGTAGTAGAGGCTAGACCCTAGAGTCTAGAGAGGTTTAGGCACTCCGACTCCGTCGGTAAGTACTCCGTATGAATCATTGTTGAGAAGCGGGCCATAGGACGACCTCTTCTGGCATAATCGAAGCTTGGCCATTGGCCCTTACCTTAGGCACCCATCACAACGTTGTTAACTTCAAAATCTGGATCCATGATCCGTTACTCATGCTTCGTATTTTTAGCTTTTCGTACTCGTCTAGAGAATTCCGAGGTGGACTTACACAGTAGTGTTATAGAACTAGGGGAATCAGGAGTCTCGGAGAACGCGCCCATTTACACAGTATGTACTCCGTATGTGTGTATCTATAGGCTCCCAATTCAGAAGTTGATATTGATTTGTTCATCGGCCCCGTGGGCCCGTGGAATCCGGGACGCCGAGGAGAATTCTACCTATCTGATCTACTTTGAAGTCTTCTCCAGAGAGTAGGTAATACGTATTGTCTGCCTGCATGTGCCACGTACTAGAATTCTCCGAAGTTCCAAGCAACAAGGAATAGGACCTTTTTATTTTATTTTATTTTTTTTCCTGTCGGCTATGCAAGCTTTAGTGGAATGCTACTCGTATCTTGTACGGCAACTTTGTGCTAGAAAATAATAATAATAATAATAATAAAAATAACCTATGAAACATGGCAGCAAATGTTTTAGCGAGAGATATAATTAGCTGAGTTGCTTCTTATCACCAAAATTGTTAATGTCGGTAGAATTTTCTTTTTCTTTTATTACTGTCCCACCAATCTTCTTGAAGTGGCTAATTGTGGTTAATTTAAGTCTGCATAAAACGCTCGGGATGTCGGGACTCCGATAAGAGATCAAGATTAAATAAATAGCACCAAAAAGGTATGTACCAGTCTGACCCTCACGGGCAACCAGAGATGTCGAGGTCTCTCAAATAATCCCCCTTTCTTCCTTTAATTTTATTGACACTTCCCTTTCCCTCTTTTTTTCTGTTCCTTATATAGTTTATTCAACAGTAGTCTCTAATAGCTCAAAGATTCGTTTCTCCCTTTCACTGTACCCTTCTTGGGATCATAATTTATGCCCCCCCTTCCTTTCTCCCTTGTTCACGCGCATAAGGAATCGCGCGTCCAACATTCCAGCCACTCGCAGCCCTTCCATTGACGATCCATTCTTTGAGCAACTCATAACAGGCGAATTAATCGGAGTTGGTCTTCATCCATCTTCCTCATGGAGTAGGGTGATTCCTGGACCCTTGTGCGATAATTTACAGACTGCGAACTCAGTCTCGCTTCCTCAAGCAAAATGACATCGATAGATAAAGCTGGTGGCTCTTCTCCAGCTACAGCTATCGACAATGAGAAGTCTATTAGCAATTCTGCTTCCGGTTCAACGATAGCCCCGCCAACAGGCAAGGAGCAGGGTACCCGTCCTCCATCCTCCCATAAGAGTGATAAAGACGGTGACAATAATAATGATGATGACGACGATGCTCTTTATTCCCACCTACCAGAACATGAGAAGCAGATCCTGAAGAACCAGCTCGATGCGGACGAAGTGAAAGTGTCATTCATTGCTCTTTTCCGCTATGCATCTAGAATGGATATACTCATCATGTTTATAAGCGCGATTTGTGCTATTGCTGCCGGTGCAGCATTGCCGCTATTTACTGTGTGTCTTAACTAGGCCCTTGCACTAAAATTATACACTGACCACTCGTTAGATCCTTTTCGGTTCCTTGGCCTCAGCTATGTCAAATAGGGTGGCAGATCTTATTTCATATGATGAATTCTATCACCAATTGACAAAGAATGTCTTGTACTTCGTATATCTTGGTATCGCTGAATTTGTCACGGTATATATCAGCACTGTTGGATTCATTTATACTGGGGAGCATATCAGCCAGAAGATCCGCGAACATTACCTCGAGTCCATCCTGCGACAAAACATGGCCTATTTTGATAAATTGGGTGCTGGTGAAGTGACCACGCGCATCACCGCCGACACAAACCTTATCCAGGACGGCATCTCTGAGAAAGTCGGACTTACACTTACAGCCATTTCCACATTTGTCACCGCGTTTATTGTCGCGTATGTCAAATATTGGAAATTGGCGCTGATTTGCAGCTCGACAATTGTCGCCATTGTGTTGGTCATGGGAGCTGGGTCTCGCTTTATTGTGAAGTACAGCAAGAAATCTCTGGACAGCTATGGTGCTGGTGGCACGGTTGCAGAAGAGGTGATCAGCTCCATTCGGAATGCCACTGCATTCGGCACTCAGGATAAGCTTGCCAAGCAATACGAGGTTCATCTGGCAGAAGCGGAAAAGTGGGGAGTCAAGAACCAACTCATACTTGGTTTCATGATTGGCGGAATGTTCGGTATCATGTTCTCCAACTATGGCCTCGGCTTCTGGATGGGCTCCCGGTTCCTTGTTAATGGAGAGGTTAATGTTGGTCAGGTCCTTACTGTGTTAATGGCGATTTTGATAGGCTCCTTCAGTCTGGGAAACGTCAGCCCGAATGCTCAAGCATTTACGAATGCTGTGGCTGCAGCTGCCAAGATCTATACTACCATTGATCGTCCTTCACCGTTGGATCCGTACTCGGATGAAGGAGAGACTCCAGAGCATGTTGAAGGCAACATTGAGTTCCGCAACGTCAAACACATCTACCCTTCGCGACCTGAAGTGACAATTATGGACGGTGTTTCCTTAAGAATGCCTGCCGGCAAAACCACAGCCTTAGTAGGTCCTTCGGGTTCTGGAAAGAGTACAGTTGTAGGGTTAGTCGAGCGTTTTTACTTCCCTGTCGGTGGTCAAGTATTCCTAGATGGCTATGACATTCAGAATCTCAACCTTCGTTGGCTGCGTCAGCAAATCTCGTTGGTTAGTCAGGAGCCTATCCTTTTCGGCACTACGATCTACAAGAATATCCAGTATGGGCTCATTGGCACGAAATTCGAGAACGAGTCAGATGAGAAGATCCGCGAACTGATTGAGAATGCGGCAAGAATGGCCAACGCTCATGACTTCATCAGTGCTTTACCAGAAGGGTACGAGACCAATGTCGGCCAGCGCGGATTCCTGCTATCTGGTGGTCAAAAGCAGCGAATTGCCATTGCCCGTGCCATTGTTAGCGACCCAAAGATTCTTTTGCTTGATGAAGCTACATCTGCACTGGATACCAAGTCAGAAGGAGTTGTTCAAGCTGCTCTTGATAAAGCTGCAGAAGGTCGAACCACTATTGTTATTGCTCATCGTCTATCGACTATAAAAGCCGCCCACAATATTGTTGTCTTGGTTGATGGCGGAATTGTAGAACAGGGTACACATGATGAACTGGTCGATCGCAAGGGTACCTACAATAACCTCGTAGAGGCTCAGCGCATCAAGGAAGAGAAGGACGCAGAAGCTCTGGATGATGAGGTTGAAGATGAAGACGAGTTCCCCAAAGAGCAAATGTCTCGTATTCAAACTGCTGGCAGCGATTTGGCCTCAGCCGTGGACGTTGGAGACGAAAAGATTTACTCTGGGATCGGACGTTCTGCTACCCACAAGTCGATATCAAGCGCTGTTCTCGCCAAGAAGAACCCAGAGAAAACGCATAAGTACTCACTGTGGTCACTGATCAAATTCATTGCATCTTTCAACCGCCCTGAACTAAACTATATGCTGATTGGTTTGACTTTTTCGATCCTTGCAGGGGGTGGTCAACCCACCCAGGCAGTCCTTTACGCCAAAGCGATCAGCTCACTCTCTTTGGGTGCAGCAGGCCCGAGCACGTATGGCAAGCTCCGTCATGATGCGAACTTCTGGTCTCTGATGTTTTTTGTTGTTGGAATTGCTCAATTCATCAATCTTTCTATCAATGGTGCCGCATTTGCAGTCAGTTCTGAGAGACTCATTCGTCGCGCACGAAGCAAAGCTTTTAGAACGATTCTTCGTCAAGACATCACCTTCTTTGATAGAGAGGAAAACAGCACTGGCGCCCTAACATCTTTCCTATCAACCGAAACAAAACATTTGTCGGGAATCAGTGGTGTAACTTTGGGGACAATTTTGATGACTAGCACAACCCTCGGGGCAGCAATTGTGATCTCTCTTGCAATCGGGTGGAAATTAGCCCTGGTCTGTATTTCCGTCGTCCCAGTACTTCTGGCATGTGGATTTTACCGTTTCTACATGCTTGCTCAGTTCCAGCACCGCTCCAAACTTGCCTATGAAGGGTCTGCGAGCTATGCTTGTGAAGCAACCTCAGCTATCCGCACCGTGGCCTCTCTCACCCGAGAACGGGATGTGTGGACAGTGTATCACTCTCAGCTGGAAGCCCAGGGTAAGAAAAGTCTAATCTCTGTTTTGAAGTCCTCCCTCCTGTATGCTAGTTCACAAGCCCTGGTTTTCTTTTGTGTTGCGCTCGGCTTTTGGTATGGTGGCACCCTCCTCGGTAAACATGAATACTCGGTGTTTCGCTTCTTCGTCTGCTTCTCTGAGATCCTCTTCGGTGCGCAGTCTGCGGGGACTGTATTCTCCTTCTCCCCAGACATGGGTAAGGCGAAGAATGCCGCAGCTGAATTCAAAAGGCTGTTCGACAGGAAGCCGACCATTGATACATGGTCGGAGGATGGCAAAAAATTAGAATCTGTGGAAGGTTCAATTGAATTCCGCGACGTGCATTTCAGGTACCCGACTCGTCCCGAACAACCAGTTCTCCGGGGGTTGAATTTGACCGTGAAGCCTGGCCAATATGTTGCTCTCGTTGGACCTAGTGGATGTGGAAAGAGTACTACCATTGCGCTGCTTGAGCGTTTCTATGATGCACTATCCGGATCTGTTCTTGTGGATGGCCAGGACATTACCCACCTTAATGTTAATTCATACCGGAGCTTTTTGTCGCTGGTCAGTCAGGAGCCGACCTTGTATCAAGGGACTGTCAAAGAGAATATCTTGCTAGGCGTTGATCAAGACAACACTCCGGAAGAGGCAGTGGTTAAGGCATGCAAGGATGCCAATATCTATGATTTCATTATGTCACTTCCGTAAGTGCCCATTTACACCTCCCAGTCAACATTTGCCCCTTTCTCGGCAAATTTCGCGCGGTTTTACTGACGGTATATCTGCAGGGAGGGATTCAATACCGTGGTTGGAAACAAAGGAGGTATGTTATCTGGTGGACAAAAGCAACGAGTTGCTATTGCCCGCGCCCTTCTCCGTGACCCCAAGGTCCTCCTTCTAGATGAAGCTACCTCGGCTCTCGACTCTGAATCCGAAAAAGTTGTACAGGCGGCGCTGGATGCCGCTGCCAAAGGCCGAACTACGATTGCTGTTGCTCACCGACTGAGTACGATTCAGAAAGCCGATGTTATCTACGTATTTGACCAGGGCAAGATTGTCGAAAGCGGAACACACCAAGAATTGGTCCGTAACAAAGGCCGTTATTATGAACTGGTCAACCTACAAAGTTTGGGCAAGGATCACTAATTTTATGTTATATACATACTTTCTAAAATACCCGCTCATGATCTCTATTGCTCCTATACACTGACACCGGATTGTTAATATGATATGTTCATGATATCCTCTATCTGAAGTTTATACACGCTCCCCCTTTTCCATTTTCTCTCCTCTCACATTAAACGTATCACATGAACGATGCAGACTGTTGGTGGGGGCGTGTTGGCTTCCGATACAAAAAGAAAATAACCCCCAAAAAAAAAAAAAAAAAAAAAGGGGGGGGTGGTCCTGCGACATTCATTATGCAAGGTGAGATATATTATATTTACGTAATCGAAGCTTAGTTTATAAGACAAAGAGAAAATAGATACTTACAATTAAAGAATCGCGACATGGCTCAAGGAATGAAGGTAGTTGTAGTGTACCGTTCTGAAATTACAGCTTTCAATAAACGAATGCCATGGCATCAAGATGACACTAAGTTCGTAGAAAACCACAGTTCAGAGTATTCAATCCCGATCACCGACCCCATATTCTCTCTGCACTTCAATCTGGCGCACTCCACGCGCATCAGCAATAAGACCCGTCAGGCCTTGTCCAATATCTTTAATTTCATTGTATTCATGAAGAAGAGTAATATGTCGCTGCACGGTCGTAGAAGCGTCGCTCCTAGAATTTACTCTACTGTTACGCATCATCCTTGTAAGATTTGTGCCAAAGTCATGGTGTCCATACTTTAATCTAGCCTTTGTTTCGGCCAGTTGAGCTTCCATTCGTGCTACTTCAGCTTCCAACCCTGTGACCGAGGTATGGAGAGAGGCCTGTCAATCTGTCAGATTCTACTGTTGGCTTTTCGACTGACTTTCAGTTATATAAGTAAGGAATAAAGCAAAGAAAAAGGGTCACATACGAAACGCTTTTCCCTGTATGTCTGTTGTTCAGGGGTACGATGTGATTTGTTACCGTTTTCGATTGCGACTATTTTATCACCGGGCGTCATATTATTCAATTACCCTGATCCACTAGTAAGCCACCGAAGGTCACTAATCAGGAGAATATCCTGGTTTTAGGCCGTAAGATAGTATGATATACTTTGGAGTACTTCTATACATAGTAGAGAGACGTTGAGGCATACCGGTGACTTTCTATTAACCAAACCGGGATTAGTGCCGGCACTAAGCAGTGGAGCCGGGCCCCGCCAATCCGAGACGGCCGATTTGCGTCTTTCCCCGAGTACCCGTGCTAAAGGCTTATCCTTATCCTTTGTCCAAATCGACGTCCATCCAAAATCTTCCCTCCCCTACCCTCTATTCGTCATTTCAGTTGCTTCGCACCATCGTGAAGATGATGCTGAGTAAACTAGACCCGCGGGGGTTACTCGCTGTATTACTTCTGGTCGCACCCGCACTGGCCCATGGCGGCCATGAAAATGTTCCCGAGGGTGCCGCTATCTCGGGAGAACCCATTGTACGTGCCTTAAATGATAGGTTAATCTCGTCGGACAAGGCTGATGGAGACAGGACTCGACTTTATGGGTGCATATGATTCTAATGGGGTTTGCCTTTGGTATCATATTTCCACTTGGAATGGTTCTAGGGGTATGTCCTGCTATTTCCCGCGCTGCAACTCTCATCTAACCTCATACGTGTATGTTGACAGGTTGTACGTTCACGATGGCACGTTCCTCTACAAATAGTTGGCACGGTTATTGCAATTGTAGCCTATTTCCTGGGACATGCCCATAAAGGCCGCCAATTCTCAAAGAACATTCACTCATCCTTCGCAAACATTCTGATGCTCATGATGGTTGTACAAGTTGTTATTGGTTTCTACCTTAAGCTGCACCTTTCCAAAGGTATCCATGGACGCATTCGCCGGGCTATTGTTATAACGCATGGCGTTATCGGCAAGGCGATGCCAGTTGTTAGTTGGGCTCAGATGCTGTTTGGTGGCATAACCGCGATGGGCTTCTGCCACGATGATCATCTAGGACAGTGTTTGGCCCACTTTATCATGGGAAGCGCCTTCATTGCCTACGGGATCATGCTCACCATCCTTCTTCTTGTCGGCCAGTTTTGGCTACGTCGCTCTGGCCGAAGCCAGGAATTCTTCGACTCATTGATTATTGCCGCCTGGGGATGTGTCAATACTTTCACAGAACATCGATGGGGAAGTGACTGGAGCCATAACGATCTGCAACACACCACCATGGGTATTGTCTGGTGGTGTGCTGGCCTTTTGGGCATGTGGCTGAGTCGTAAACGCAACGGTCGGCCGAAGCGGAATTTGGTCCCGGCTATTGTCATTCTTCTAACTGGTTATGCCATGTCTGCCCATCCGCAGTTCTTGGAAATTAGCACAATGATTCACACTATCTTTGGTTATACACTGATGGCGGCCGGTCTAACAAGAATCATTGAGATTTCCTTTGTCTTGAAGGATCGAAGCACGTTGAGCTTGGATGGCTCTGAACCCAACAGTTTCCAGTATCTGCCACCATTCGTAAGTATTCCAGTTTTATCGGGGCGCAACTTACCCGAGGGTGGATTTGTTTTGGCTAACAATATGTAGCTCTTGTATGCTTCGGGCTTCCTTTTCATGGGCGCTACAGAGGAGCAGATGCAACTCTTGCATGACGCAGGAATTACGCATGTATCATATGTTTTGATCTTGTACAGCATTGCCTTCATTCTATTCCTCTGTATGTTGAGCATCGCAAAACATTCTCTACCGGTTTTACTCTTCCTAACATGATATCTAGTTGTCAATATTCTCCTCCACATCTATGCCGTACATGCGTGGCCCGACTCTGGGAATACCATGCCTGCTCGCTCCTCAAGCGAAGAAGAGGTAGCTCAAGGCGCGACTCACGCAAACGGCGGCTTCCTCAACAGCCATGTTCGCTCAAACTCCGAAGTACAGCACATTCATGACGCAGAGGCCTACGAGCTAGAAGGCCTAATATCTGATGAGGAAGATGACAGAAAAGCAGCTGGCGACAGCCATACCATGGGTTCTAAAAGGGTCACAGATGAGGAGAGCTCTCCTTTAGTCAGGAAAGAGACTTCGAGGGGTTGATAGCACGAGCTTCCCTGTAAAAGCTCTTTCGTGTACTAAGCCCGTCGTCAATTTTTTTTTTTTTTTATTATCTTACGGAATCAAAGTGTATAAATAAAAAAAAGATCATAATACGCTCATTTGGTCTATCATACAAATCATGATTATACCCTAAACGGTGGGGGATCTTAACGGCAGAAAAAACAGAATATGCGGATCTCATAGATTACAAGATGGTAGTCACCTTTTAACTTCCAATGACTCTCTTCCCCTACCATTCAGACGTCTGCTCCTGATGGAGGAATCATTGGTTGCTGCAAAGTAGGATCGCCGTTCAAAGGGATTGAGTCCGCAGCAGGAGGAATGGCGGACATGACATTCTCGACTTCCGGAGGGAAGAATGGGTGCAAGGGGTAGATAGGAGCGACGGACTTCTCGCCGTCAAAGAGCAAGAGGTTCTGTATAGGTTGCTCTCTGACGCTCAATACATTGATCACGTCCTGAGCTAACTTACCACCGACAATAGCGGCAACGGGGCTCAGTTCACTTCCGAGATTCTGTAGAAAGGTGCGCAAGAATTCCGAGTCGAGGGTACTGATGTCCAATTTCAATTCTTGGTGGCCGTCACGGGCGAGTTTAGTGAAAAGCTCCAGGTCTTGGCGAGAGAAAGTCGGCATACAACCTCCGGATAGCTTTTGGAACTCCCACAGTGCTCGGAGGCAAGTAAGGAGCGGAGTAACCTGTCGTCGTTTCCGTGGCAGACGAGTGAAGTCTTCCGGGAGGGGAGATGTGTTCGCCAAAATCAGAGGCGAGTATGTCTCTCGCTTGGTGACCATCTCGATAATTTTCTCGTTTTCCTTCTTCGTTGTTATATTAACTATGCTCCGCGTTGGAGTCTCTTGAGTGGCTGAAGGGACGTTTGACTTGGATCGTTCGATAACAAAATCGTGTGAAATTAGATCTGCAAATACGAACCCGTAGAACCCGTGCAACCCTGCTGCATAGAACGGACGATTTGCGATGCGGCATGCCGCATTTATGGTGGTGTACATTGCGAAGTCCAGCTCTGTCGCAATGACGACATCGAATTGTGCAAAGAAGTCGGGTTGCTTCGTATGTATGTCATCTGTATCGATACGAAGCCGAACTCTTGGGTTCATTGCATGAATTGAGGGGGCTGCCGCTTGCGCCCGCTTGATTCACGGTTAGCATGTCCTTCTTCATAGTTCTCCAGCAAAGCGCAGCCTACATTCTGCCCTATATGTTCTTCCGTGACGAAAAATTGGGCGCTCAAATCTTCCTCCTTGACGGTTTCATGGTCAACGATTGTCAGTGTGCCGATACCAGCGAGAACGAGGTTCTTAGCAATTTCATTTGCCAATGCCTTGAAGGTAATTAGAAGTATATTCGCCGATCGTAACCTGAATGGGATGTGAATATCCTGCTAGGCGCAAATTGCCCATCATCGAAGGCTGCCAGCTTACTTTTCCTGAGCTTTCACGCCCCAGAGACGGATCTGGCGATCATACAAGGCGATCTCATCTGTTCAAGTAGAAGCCCTTACATCAGCTTCGATCTATGCTCCGTACACTGATATGTTTATGGGTGTATAGAGGTGTTTTTACCTGCACTGATAGACTGAGCTGTATTGCCCTGTGACTCCATGGTGTTCGACGGATGGTGTCCAAAATGAATCACACGATGCAATTCACCTTCTAATCAACGGCGATTCAAAGTGTTGCTTTGCGCGAAGTCGTAAATATGGAGCTAGAGCGCTTCGGAGTTGGTGAGGGCTCAATAGGATTTGAGAGTCAAAAGAGCGCTCGCGGTCTACCGAGGATGGCGGGGAACTATCAAAGAGCGGAGGCGCGATGAATGGATGGGGAAAATGTCAGTAGATGACGGCTAAGGCAACTTGAATTTTGAGTTAAGGAGTGCCAAGGTATGTCCACTGAAGTTCCGGTCGAGCTGAAAAGAGCCAAGGAAAGAAGTGTATGAAAGCAGCATCATAGTAAGTGAATGAATGATAGACGGATATACCCCAGTATCACGTGTGACGCTACGGGCGATAACCCGCACTTATCAATTGAAACTTGGCCATCATTATCATCTTCACCGACCACTCCAGACCTGGCCTTTCTTTTGTCCGTGGTCATTCTAGGTGGTCTGTCTGTACTCTCTGTGGGTTACTAATGCCTCCCCTTATTTCTTTCTATGTTGGTTCATCATAATTCATTTATCTCTCCCCGATATAATTCTTCTTCCCCTCCTTGCCTCTGGCCGTTGTACTAACCGTCGATCGTCTTTATATACAGAATGGTACGTTAAATGCCGGGCTGTTAATATCTTATCCCGTTGCCAACTCAGCGTTCCTTTTGTACAAGGATACTGTCTACCTCATATTCGGCGTATATTGACCGTTTTGGCTATAATTGTAGTCGGGGAATTACAACTATCCTCCCGCCTCTCTTCGTGTACCTCGTGGAAGCCGTGCCGGTGATAGACCACAGTATCCTACCGCAAACAGTTTGCAGCATCTGCGAGATCTGTTGCATTCGGAACGTAACCACAGCACTGCCCGCGCTTTAGAGACTCTGAACGAAGAGATAGAAGAGTATCGCTCCGGCCGTGTGCGGGACCAGCCAAGCTTCGAAGAGACTGGAGCAACGGTTGATAGACAGATACAGCAACATATCCCACGCCCAGGCATGCAGAGATTACACGCTCTAAATACTGCTGCGACAGACACCGACTCTAGTACTAGTACTGCCGATGCTTCTATATCCTCTAGCGGACATTCTACTCGTTCCAGAGGAAGTAACAGGGCAGGTCGAGAAGAAAGGAATCGAGGCCCCACTTCCAATCAGCTCAGAGACGAATCCGCACTCCATATCGAAACAGCCACCGGCATGTCTCAGGAAGCGGATGGAGGCCGGTGGAGGATTAAACGTAGAAAGCTCGAATCAGATGACAACAGAGAGGGTTTGCAGAGCTTCAGGTACGGACAGTATGGCCAGGTTGTGTCCGGAGCCCTCAGGATGGAATTGGCTAGCTGCGATGGGGGCACTTATGAAACTGATGGTGAAAGCACATGGCCCGAGAACGTTCTTCGCGATGACTCTTCTGTTTATTGTACAAAATCAGACCGGTGTAATCTGATCTTGAAGCATCGTGGAGAGACCCCGTTCTGCTTGAAAAAGATCGTGATTAAGGCTCCCAAGTCTGGCTACGATGCTCCGTATGTTACATCTGAGCAGCTTGGCTAATCACCGTTTATTAATAACCATTCACCAGGATACAAGAAGGAATGGTTTTCGTATCCATGACTTCCGACGAACTTCTGACCCGTACAGCCCAGTACCAAATCCAGTATACATCTTCTCAACGAAGCCGGCGAAATCGTCGGAGTGATATGCAGCCTTCCCAGGAATATCTGAATGCATACCGGCATCCTTTACAGTCTCTGACTGGTCGGGACTCTTATTCAGAGCCGGATACCGATATCGGTGACCCTATAGGGCTAAATGCAGGCACTATTCCTGACCCAATGTTGGGGTTTCGGGTTATCACAGACTATGATGAGCGTTCTGAGAACAGTGATCACGGTGATCGGGGATATGGGAACGATTTACCATCCCTTGCGGATGTGGAGAGACTACAGATGGACCAGGCGGAGGACGATTTTCTTTGTTCGGAAAGCGATGACAGCGATAGCGATGAAGATACATCCGAGTTAAGCACGTACAACCGCCGACGCCGCGAACTACTCAGGCGCGTGACATCCATGCGTCGCCGATACGTCATGGAAAGAAGCGGGCAGCCAAGACGACGTCCGGTCCCCAGTATAATTCAACCTATACCACAGTCCTCCCCCTCGGGTCCACACACTGGTTCCGATACTCAGAATCCTAATCTAGAATTGCTAAAACCCCACGCTCGTTTCTTCATTGAACGAACCAAGAGCATGGTCAGCATTACATTCGATCCACCTCCGTATGATTCCTTTTCTTTCCAACACGGCTGAGCCCGTAGGGTTAGGGCTAACCAATATCTGTAGTTCCGGCAGATACATTTTGATTAAGCTATGGAGCCCCCACAACGGAGGCAACATTGATATACAGAGCATTATAGCACATGGCTACGCTGGGCCAAGGTTCTTCCCTGCCGGAGGTTTCAGGTAGATAAGCCTCGCGAGCTCTTGTCTGTGACAGATGCTAGATAACCGAAATATTATGTGCGCTGAGTCGAGATTTGAATGATAGAGTCTTATGAAGGAGATGCCCTAACTTTCCAAGTCATGGCCACTTCCACCTTCGACTATATTCATGGCCAGCCATCATGACTATATTCATTTCATTCGTACAAGTAGATTTATCACGCAGCGTGTACCATTGGCGTTTTCCTCTCATCAAATCACGTTCTACAGAGCTTATAGTAGCTTAGGTATTATGGATTAACATGTACTTGTGAGTTCCTCCGGCGCGCAATTGAAGTGAACCATGGTGCTTTGCAATCGAAGGTCATATGATGAGATAGTGAAAGTAAATTCGGGAGGCAATTTAATTCTCGAGAGCATAAATCATGAACGATGCACGAAGAGAATTGAACTGAAGGAAGATCGCACCCAGTCAATCAGGTGAAAGACGCCTGGAGTCTTAATATGAACAAAAGGCAAGCCAGCCGTCGAAGAGACGCCAGCTATCCGAGGAGACCAGCGACAGCAAAGAGGAATAGTGTGAATTGGAACGAGCAGCTGTCGTTTAGGTAAATAGGTAGATAAGCCCTGGCTAAAGTTATGCGAGAATGAAGTGGACTCCCAATTGAAAAATAAGAAAAAGGCCGCTCTGTCTCTCCTAATCGGCTGTGTCCAAATATGGCCACGATTCTCTTTGTCCAGATAGTATAGAGCTTGTCAAAGACTCTAAACAAGCGAAATGCAATATACCTAACACGAAAAGGGTAGCCCAAGGCAATTAAAAGAGCGTATAGAAAAAGGAGGCGTCGTAGAGTGAACCATGACATTAAGAAGTTCTGTAGGTCATTTGCAAACAGGTTGACCGGAATCTATGTACAACAGGTCGGTCTCTGACAGGGAAACTAAAAGCTCAAAGAAAGCAATAAGCGATTCAGAGCGGGATCAACCACGCTATTAAATGTGTATGATTTTCAACCTGAAAAGCCCGCAGTTGCGGCAGGTCGATGTATTTTGATCGATGCTCATTTCTCGTCTCTCGTGCGAAGATCGTCGAACGCCGAAACTTCCTTGTACATGAACATAAATAATCACCAACCAAGAACAAGACTCCTAAAAAGAGCATTAAAACTCCACCCATAAACAAATGAAAACCTGGTTGTTTCTTTTTTCCAAAACTTTGACGAAATCAAGTAAATATGTATAGTCAGCTTATATGACGACAACATCGCCTTCAGCATCTGCTGGATCAGAGGCCATCATATCGCCGTATTTGCCCACGGTCATTAGCATTGAATCATCGTCAAGGTCAATCGCGCTATCATCATTGTTTGAGGCATGAAAGCTGGCAATATTTTCGGATATATCCGCTGGCTTTTCAATAGGAACGTTATTAGATTGTGGTTCTGCGTCCACTTGTGAATGTTCCAAAGAGGATCGAGACGGGTGGATACTCTCTGCCGGGGCAGAGGTATCCAATCCAGACCTTGAGTCAACATTGCTTTGTGCGTTAGGAGCTGTGAAGGATCCATTCTTAAGAGAGTCTGGATAACTAGGCTGCTTCATGGGAATGCTATTTGGTCCCAGTTGATCTGCTCTCGAACTCGCGCCCTGCAATGTTCTCGGAGTATAGCGCATAAAGCCACCTTTTTCCGCTTGCCAAAGCATCATTTCATGAAAGAATACTTTGGTCATCCACCAGGCGCTAAAGCTTTGAGCTCCCCCTAATGTCAACCGGCGAAGGATGCAATCCCACAACGCATCAACTTTCTCTATGATACATTTCGTACGGTGATTTGGAAACGCAAATGGTAAATTGAGAATGAATGATATCCATTTATCCGGGAAGTTATAGTCATCACCCGTTGACGACTGCACAGGATATTTATGTGACTGAGTACCTCCTTCCGAATCAGGCTTTGTGTAGAACGGATGGGAGGCAGCGGGATTCAGATCGGTAATAGGAGTGAGAAGGGCCCGAACATCATGCTTGAGAATTTGTTCGGTGGCTTTCTCCACGCAGCTTGGGATATTCGCTTTAGAAATCATTTCCTTCGGATCTACCAGCGTTTTGAAGTCGAACCACATCTGGTTTCTGTTGTCAGGGTGGCACAGCCACGCTGCGGCTGCATTGGCGGATTGATTGACATCGAGCATGTGCCGAAGAAGGTTACAAAATATATGCGCCGGTATTAATCTTGCTAAGGAGACGTGCATCGGTTGCGCTTTGAACGTATCTGCAATATGGGTGGTAAGTCTTTGAGAGATCGAACTAAAGGTGTCTAGGACGAGCTTCGGAACGACTTGAGTTGTAAGCGGTGCCACAAATGCAATCATTTTCTGGTACATGAGCCAGTCACATTCCTTTATCCAAGGGGCGAGGTTAGGGTGTGTTAAAAGCTTCTGTACTGGCACGGTTAGCGTCCCGTGGAAGGCAGAGAAGTAATGTCGTAGATTCCGCTCTTTGCAGTATCGAAAGCTGTCTATGACAGAAATGCAATGTGACCGATAAAGGGCGGCTAGGGCAGCAGCAACCTTCGAATCCGTATTAACGGGGACATAGTCATTAATATCAGGAAGTTGTAGAGTGTCATTGTCAATGGATGAATCTTCGGTAGTTGGTAGTTGAAGCATCTGGTGAATCATTCTTCCAGAATGGCTTGCTACGTTTTCCAGGGTAGTGGTGGAATCGCCACTAGACCGGGACGAAGTATGACAACCACAATCTGAGCTCGAAAAACTCCCCGAGGATCTGGCAGTGAATGAAGTGGTGGGTGAAGGGAAAACTGCAGTGTCTGCAGGCGGCTGCGGTGCGATACTAACGCTAGTTCTGATCAGATTTGAATACATTGACGTGCTTCTCCCGTGATGAACTCACCTCTTCTGCATGACTTCTCCCACTTTGTGGTCTGTGGGTGCGGCTGAACCGGTTGTGCTGGCAGGCATCTGAGGGTTCAGGGGAGGAGGCTTCTGCTGTTTCTCCTCGATGACGGTTAAATCGACGTAATGGTATTTCGACTCTCCCCGGACTCCGAGCCGCCTAGTCTGTACGTTGGGAAATATGATTCGCACGAGTTTTCCAAAAGAAGCAGGATTCAAAACGGAGACACGCTCGGTTCCACACTTTTCTGCATAGCAGCAGTAAACACGATCGCGCCGAACAGAACCGCTGCTTTTTCTGCAATTCTCCTTCAACCTAGGGGCATGTAAGGAACAAATCGCAACCGGTATATAATTGGGTTATTCCGTTGCTCACCATATCATAGCAAAGACTTGCTTCACCTTTTCCGCCTTACCCCCAGCTCCCTCATGTTTAAGGACTTCCGCTGCCATTTGCTTCAAGGAATACCCTTCGTACTGCCGCAACAGTTTTCGCAGTTCGTTGTCATTCGCAAGAGAAGAGTTTGAGCCTTTTTTCTTTTTCGCACCAGCCTCAGAATTCTCGTTCTCATCTAGAACGTGTTCTGGGACGTGATTCTCGATCCCGCTGTCATACATCGCTTGGTACTGCGGCATTGGCAAGGAAGACAATCCATGAATACCTGGAGGTATTGAATGGTGGGAGAGGTGATGGCCATGCATCGCATGGCTTGGGAAGTCTTCAGCCCTTGGCAGGACGGGATGATGAGCATCAGGCATAGTCGGGTCCAGCGAAGAACCGCTCACGGGATGCGAAAGTTGCTGACCAAATCGCATAATGATCTCCTCGGGATTTCCTCCGAAGACATTATGGCTGGCGCTGGCTTGAGCCGGGAGGAATTGCGGAAATCCATCAGTAATCTGCTGGTCCTGGGTTTGTTGGGTGGTGTTTGAATGGATGCTGGCAGTAGAGCCTCTAGACCTTGGGCGGCGACCATTCCTTGATACTACGGTTTCCGAGCGCGACCTCATGAGGTCTGCTGTCCCGGGACGACTATGTGGCGCTACTATCTGCGTTGTTTGAGATGCAGCACTTGAGGCCTGCGAGGCGGCTCGGCCTGTTGATTCTGTTAGTTAGCCAACACCGGCGGATATTCACACACAAGTACGGCAGTGGAGAGACAGGTTAAGACCAATGACAGGAAGTAGGAGGCTTTGCAGGAAGCGGATGCAGCTTCTTACCCATCTCAGGAGGCATCGTTTTTTTGGATCTGCTCCAGCACACCACGATGTTTGGTTCCCTCGCTGTTGGGTGGGAGACGGTCGGTAACCACGGGCAATAGCGTCTGTTTTGATCCCTTCCAGCCACCGTCAACCACACGTTTTCACACCGCAGGGGAACTCGCGAAATTAGAGCCCAATCAAACTCAAGTCGGAAATCGGGTCTTTAGGGCATGAATAGGGTCGGTCTCGTAGCAGACTTGCTATGGAAAGCTCATAGCAGCCGCGTTTCAAGGTCGAAGAATCGTGAGCTGGAAGGAGGATAAACAGAGATCGGCGTTCCTCAAGCAACGACTGTTTTTGCTTGTTTGCGGGTACGGTCACGTGTGGCAGAGATTATATAAGTTGGCATTCCTGTAGTTCGTTGGTATTGTCTTTTCCGGTAATAAACAAACACAAACAAAAGGGATGATCAGCAGTCAAATGGAACAAGAAACAATATATGACACGAGGTACAGTAATAATCATGTTCTGTACGGAGTACATCCGTTAGGGGGAGCTTATGTATGTGTATATGTATATATGTATGTATGCATGCATGCGTCTATCTATGTACAGTACACACCAAACTCCCCAAATCGATCTATTCTACTTTTCACGTACAACTTTAATCTTCCAGTCTCATCTCTCGCTCATGCCGCCATGAAGCTCCGAGTCGGCTTTCCATCCATAATAGAGGAGCCATGACCAATGTGATCCCCGCAAGCAAGAGAAAGGCGTAGTCGGCGGTCAGCGCGTCCAGCATGGGTTGCATTGCCGCCACTCCAGCAGCTCCCACCAAGCATCTTATCAGGTTATTAACTGCCGTTGCACTTGCACTGGCCCCAGGGTAAAGATCGATGACCAATGCGCTATTGATGGTAAATATCCCCGTTGAACACAAAGCAATCAAGTATTGTAGGATGATGGGAACCGCTATGTGTGTTCGAAGCGAGACTCCATAGACAGCAGTTGTCATGATGAATAGCCCAACAATCCACCAAGTGTGGCGCATTCGGGCAACTTCAATAGGAAAATCCGGGTGAGATTTCAAGTTGACCCGCGTACCAGATGGGTAGCCATGTTGCTCGCAGTATTTGCGTTCCGTCAATTTGTGGTTATAGTCCATAAGGTAGCCGACCAAGTACGACCCCGATATACATCCAAAGCCTAGCAGGTGGCAATCAGCGAACTTTTATCTCGCTATGGTGCTCTGATAGTGGGTCTTACCATTGCCCAAAAATGTCAAGCCAACCTCTAATGAGGTCAAATGATAGACATTCTGAAAAAGGTCTGTAGTACTGGATGTCACCATACTCCAAACCGCATAAACGATGCTTCCAAAGAAAAGGGTAACGAAGATATCCTTTTCTACAAGGAATGTGAGAGGAGCAAGTATAGCACGCCATGTCATTTCAGGTTTCTTCCGGCCCGGGTCGGCTCCAGTTATGGCTCCCTTCTGTCCGATAACCACATACAGAAAAGGCTTATGGATACCTCTCAGCCTAACAGTACCGTTACCAGCAATATGTCTCAACGTCTCAGGTAGAAATATAAGAATAGAAAGAAGGCTCACAGCCGCACATATCGTGAGAAACCAAAAGATCGAGCGGAAGCCTAAGTACTGAGTCAAGATGCCACCCACAACCGGGCCGATCCCTTGCCCAAGCATACGAACTTCAATGTGTCAGCTTATATCCATACGTTCATGGTGTCCACCAAGTGCCCAATAAAAACGAAGAGCGGGGTCTAATCACTATCTTACCTCCTCCAAATATACCCACCAGACTTCCCCTTTCCGCCGAAGTGGTGATATCACCAATGACACCTGCACCTAAATGGTGATCCTATGAGCAACATATATCTAACTTTTGGCTACTAATGGAGACAAACCTACCAATAGAAATTGTAGCCGCACTACCAGCAGCCTGTAAGGCACGAAAAGCCATGAGTTCTCCGTAGTTGGTGGACACAGCAAGGGCAACGTTGGCAATCATGTACACAATGAACGTCCCAATAAAGACTGGACGTCTCCCTGTGGCATCCGAAATCGAACCCCAGAACGTGGGTGTTATCCCTTGCACGATCATGTATATTGTGACCGTCAAGGTGGCAAGGGACATGCTAACATTTAGGCTCTGCAATAGAGCTTGGTCAATATACTGTCCCTCAAAAGGTAGCCCACAGTGTATTTTCTTATTGTCGCACTTACCCTTGACACCTCGCCCAGGGCTGGGAAATAAATATTCGACGATAAGGGGGAGAAAATGGCAGCCATTGAAACAATGCATACCATTTGCAGCTTCTTACGACGAGAGAAAATATGATGTGGCTTGGGTTGGGCAACTTGGTCTTCAAGCTGGGAAGCCCCTAGAGAGTCGGATGGTTGCCTCTCATCCTCTTCAATAGAAGAAACTATAGGGACCTTGTCGGTATCTGGCTGTGCTGTAGCCATGATTACAGCAGTGGAGAAAGTATAGTTCTGAAATCAAATCTCCCGATGATACTTCTCTCAGCTATAAATGCTTTAAACGGAAATGTCCACGGATGGCCTAGACATCAAACATCTCAGCGCCAACCCAGTTCCTAGTCGAGGATTATATACTTTCAATACCAAAGCGTACATTAATTACCCAAAACAACAGGGAAAAGTTACCTGATCCACAACATATGCAGCCTTGATAGCTCCCTTCCCAAATAGAACAATACATGTGGAGTAGCAAAGAAAGATCGTCATTCCGTGGGACTAAGGCGAGAATTGTTAAAACCTTGAGGAGAACTGCTCTGCTGTGTATGGGCAACGGCGAGGTGGCCTTGAACTGCATAGAGAGAACCTCCTGGTAGCTAATGCAGCAGAGGGGTCACCAAACTATGAGAGATGGTCTACGGGTCATTATTCCTTGGCCGCCAAATTCCAGATAAAAACATATATACACAGTACTCCGTACTTGATGTTAGCCCCGTGGGTCCACAGATCGTTAGCGAGCGTATACACTCTTGGCCTCCTCCATGTGAGCCTAATAATTGTATGCAGCAATAACCCGAGGGACGCGTCAGACATTGAGGTGCATACTAGTAGCATCCCGTGCATATGCAAGACTCCAAACGGAAAGCATACAAATGGCAATGTGAGTCTAAGAGCCCTATTGCAAGCAAAGATGGAAAACACAATCGGGGCGTCATCATTCAAGTTCTACCATGAGTGATTTATCACCCACCCAGCATCAGAAAACGCGGAGCTACACTTAACCAAGCTTGACCTTTAATGCTAGAATGAATCCAGAGTCGAGACTGCCCTGATAAGGCTCCATAAGCTCCACCTTCCCCGAAAGGCATGAGGCGTCATCGCCACGTAACGTAGAGTAGCTGTGTCAATTTGCCTCTGTGCCTGATGATCATCTAACTGGCTGGGATCACACATCATATCTTGCCTAACTACATGAAACGCTGTCGTTCGAGAATCGGCAGAATAAGAGAACCCCACCCCCCTCGTAGTTTTAAGGCAACGATGACTGAGGATGACGTACAATCGTAAGAATCCATCTGTACTCGTGCAGCATGCATTTATCTTTTGCTAGTATCATGCTTTCAACCTCATCTTTATGTGCCAGGGGTAGGCCCGGTCAAGGGCCTGCCACGAGGAAGGTCAAAAATAGAGAGTACCCACAACAGCTCAAATAGACCGATAAGAGAAGAAGGCTGATGGCGAAAAGATCTGGTCGAGTAGGGGGAGGGGGGGATTTATTGGGGGCCGGACGAGCTGGTGGTTCAGATCAAGCCAGGCTAGTGTAAGATCGTCCCTGAGTGATCTACACCCACGCCACAGGGTTTTATTGTCTTTTTGGTTTGTATGATTGCCACCTTCTCTGGTGGATTCCGTAGATCTCCGTCTGCTAGCGATGATACTACGTACATATCCCAGTAATCTTGGCATCAATTGAGTTCGAGACGATCGCCCAAACTTTTAGCTTGTGGAAAACCCAGCCACTGTAGCTATTTTTGAGGAGAATCACAACAGATAGGGGCAGCATGTAATTCCTATTCCCGGCTCTTACCACCTTGGGGCCAAATGTACGGAGTATGAGAGCTGTAAACTGAAGGGTCACGTCTAAATCCCCTTTTCAGTTACTCCCGCTGATCTTCGAAGCTAACCAAATGAAGAGGTCGTTAATCTTTTCTATCCTTTTGGGAGGGGGGGGGGAAGCCTCTATGGTAGAATCAACACATGGACATCTCACAGAACTAGTTTCAAGTACTTGATTACAGACTATTGTAGAGCACTAGTTTTGTTCCCTCACATTTTACGATAATGCAACATTGACAAGAGTGTACGTAGTAAAGCAAAAGAGGAACGAAAATTTACATGAGGAAACTAATTACTCCCTAGCATCTCTAAACAAAGGAGAACATGAACAGGAAAAGTACAGGAGTGGCCAAGAGAAGATCATCTAGCAGATTTAAAATATAGGTTTCAGCAGTGACGCTCCGAATGATGGAATGTCACATGCTGAGGTTCAATCACTCACATCCCACGCTCACTTACTTAAACCAGATCCCGCTTCACGAACTCGTTGAGCAGAGCCTTGCCAAGGGAAGCGGGGCTCTTCTCAACAATGACACCGGCAGCTTCAAGAGCAGAGATCTTGGAGTCAGCACCGCCTTTGCCACCGCTAACGATGGCACCAGCGTGACCCATGCGACGGCCTGGGGGAGCGCTGATACCGGCAATGAATCCGACTGCGGGCTTGTTGTGCTTGTTGTTGGCCTTGAGGAACTCGGCAGCATCCTCCTCAGCGCTACCACCGATCTCACCGATCATGATGATACCATCGGTCTCCTCGTCCTCAAGGAAGACCTTCAAGCAGTCAATGAAGTTGGTGCCGGAGAAAGGATCGCCACCGATACCGACGACGAGAGACTGGCCGAGGCCAGCCTGAGTCGTCTGGTTGACGGCCTCGTAGGTCAGGGTACCCGAACGGGAAACAATACCGACACGGCCACGCTTGTGGATGAACCCAGGCATGATACCAATCTTGCATTGGCCCTATACCACTGTAAATATCTGTCCAAACGTGTTCACAAGATGACATGTTAGGCGATTATAACTTACGGGAGCAATGATACCGGGGCAGTTGGGTCCGACTAGACGAGTCTTGTTCTGCGTCTTCAAGATATCGGTGATACGAACCATATCTAGTAGAATACCAGTCAGACTCTGAGATCCCGGATAGTTCACGATACAGATAAACTTACCATGCTGGGGAATTCCTTCAGTGATGCTAGAAGATACAAACATATCAGCGGTTGATGAGTTTTACGCAGGCCACGATCGTCTTACCAAACAGCCAAGGGAACCTCGGCTTCAATTGCCTCCTCAATACCCTTAGCAGCGAGAGGAGGGCTGCAGTCAATTAGCCACATGTTTATATACCTCCAAAATGAAGGGTACAGTCATACGGGACGAAAATAGCAGAAGCAGTAGCTCCGGTCTCCTTCACGGCGTCGCGCACATTTGCGAAGACGGGTCTGTCAAGGTGTGTCGAGCCGGCCTTCTTGGGGTTGGTACCGCCAACAACTTTGGTGCCTAATTGTTGTGAGCTACATTGTCCATATTATCGCAAATATCGATCTGCTGAGGTATCTGAAAGGGGTGGGAAATACCGTAGGCAATGGCTTGCTCGGCGTGGAAACTGCGGGAAGACAGAATGCAACGTCAGCATCATGTATGAAACCACACCTGATCGAAAGTATACATACGTTCCCTGCTTGCCAGTGAAGCCCTGGAAGATAACCTTGGTATCCGCATTTATGCGAAGGTTGTTAATGGTCTCAGCGTAGACCGGGGCATTGGCATATCCCCGTTGCTGCACAGCGGCAGCATTCCGAAGGGCAGAGGCAGTGCTACGGCGGAAGGCCTGCATGACGGAAACCAGTAGTAGAGGGTATAAAAAAAGGGGGGGAGGAGGAGAGGAGATTGCACCAGAGATGTGAAAGTTGACGTGGAGGAGAAGGAAAATAATTGATTGGTATAGAGGTAGGAAACGCGCCGGGACGGTTTGGATTTCAACTTTCGGGACAAAGCTTTAAGCGGACCCGAATTGTCGCGGGCGGTCGGTTCAGTCTCCTCGGCCATTTCTTTTTTTTTACCCTCTCGCATACTGATTTGATATTCGGCCCCTCCAAACCACCTTAGACCGGTCACCATCTGGGGTAACGTCAATTGGGATTTCTACTTTTTTTTTTTTTTTTTTTT